GGCCGAGCGAGGGGGGCCCCGATGTCCCGGTCACGGGCGAGCTGTGCCATCGGGGGGCTGGGCCTAGGGCTCGGTGCAGCGTGTCCTGCAGCGCCCCTCGGTACCCCTCGGTACCCCTCGGTACGGCCGTTTGAGGCCCGGGAGCCGCGTCTGCGTTTTCCTGCATTTCACATTCATTTGTTGGCTTCCACGCGCTCTCCTTTCTGAGTGCCTCCGCCTTTGGTTTTGTCCGAGTCTCTCATTTGTCTCTGCGCGCGCAGGGGGATGCTCTCTAGGTTTTCCCAAAGCCTTGGCTCTCCGAGTACTTTTGTACTTGCTCTGCACGGTGTAGCTCAATCTCAGTCATTACATTTTTTTATTTTTTTTACCCTGCATAAATGGAGTTACTACTGTCATAAAGCAACATGGGTAGGCAATTGGCATAAGATATTGCCTTCTTTGATTTGAAGAGAGCTACATTTTGTTACTACTTCTATCCAAAAGTTGACATTCTCTTGTATCGATTAACTCAGAGATTCCCTTAAGTATAGTCCAGGAACCTACAGAGTTCCCTGTCGCTTCCAAGTTAGTTCAGATACAGATGGGTTAGACCTGTCATTCTAGCTACTTGGGAGGCTGGGGTCAGGAGGGTCTTGGTTTGAGGCCGGTTTGGCCATATAGACTAGGCTGCTCAACCAAGAGTTATTGCATGCCTGCCATTCTAGCTATGACAGAGAAACCTGACTCAAAGGAGTTCAGGTGCACCGAGCAAAAAGGGAGTCCCCTATCTGAAAACAAGTAGTATAAACTAAGGGCTGGAGGTGTAGCTTAGGTGGTAGAGAACTTGCCTAGCAAGTATGAAGCTTTGAGTTCAAATCCTAAATATATATGTGTGTGTGTGTGTCCATATGTATATGTATACATATATAGGGATCCAAATGTAGATGTATCCATGGATATGTATCCAAATATATATAATATGTATTTCATAATATTCAGCTATTGCTCATCTTTTTCACTCCCACTTTCTCACAAGTGTTCAGTGAGGTTTGCCAGAGGCAACATGACTTGTGATGATGTTGGAAGGCAGTGAAGCAAATATGAGACTCCAGCAAGCTGTTTTCTCCTTGAAGTCAGGCTTTAAGGAGACTTACTACAATATATATGTGTGCCTTTTCTCACTAGATGATTTTGCTTTGAGAAACGTAGCTAGAAACGTAGCTATTTCCATTAAGAATACATGATTTATGCTAACATTTAGTGCACTCATAATTTTGAAAATCAGTACATAAAGAACTAAAGTATTCTTATAATTTCCAATATGTTAAGTATTGATACATGTAATTCCCATAAAAGCTCTGGAGTTTCCAAAATTATTTTGTTATTTTTTTAAAGATATGATTGCATACATTATCTCACTTTTTTTTTTTTTGGGTTGTGTTGGTCATGGGACTGGAACTCAGGGTCTGGGTGCTATCCTTGAGCTTTTTTGCTCAAAGCTAGTGCTCTACCACTTTGAGCCACAGTGCCACTTTGGATTGATTTTCTGGTGGTGAATTAGAGGTAAGAATCTCATGGACTTTTCTGCTGGCTTTCAACCATGATGTTTAAAGTTTCAGCCTCTTCAGTACCTAGGGTTACAGGTGTGAGCCATCAGCGCCCGGCACTGTTTATCATATAAAGGTCTGTGGATTTGGACAAACATAGTCATACCACCACTATCCCAAGAGAAATTTAGAGCAGTTTCCTAACTCATCCCCAGTACTCTTCTCCTTTGTAATCAGCTATTCTCTAACACTGGTAAGCATCTATTTAACTTTTAGGGGAATAGAAGGATCACAAGACCCCCAGATTTGAAAATTACTTGGATATTGGATATTAACAGCATTCTACATGAAATATTTTTTTCAGTATCAGTACTTGTAGAGAGGTTAAAAAATGATAGAATTCACACAAATGTATCTATTTAATTAAGCTTTCACTAGAAGTGTGGCAGCCTATATCTTATGAAAATAGTGACTATAGTTAGTCTTGCAATATCTTGTCACTTTCATCATTAGAAGACAGTTTTCACTTGCATTTGTTTTGGTTACTAATGATTTTCTTGGGTTTATTGGCAGCTTACATTTCATTCCTGTAAATTGCTTAATACCTTTTGCTCATTTTTCTATTGGACTGTAGATTGCTGATTACTTTATTACCTCTGTTTGTGTTAACCTCTATTTGTGTATATAGGCTTTTTTCCTTCTCTTGTTGTCTTTTAACTGTTTACATTGTCTTTTAGTTCAGAATTTTTTTTTTTTTTTTTTTTTGGGTCCGGTCGTGGGGCCTGAACTCTGGGCCTGGGTGCTGTCCCTCAGCTCTTCAGCTCAAGGCTAGCGACCACTTGAGCCACAGCGCCTCTTCTGGCTTTTTTCTTTTTGCTTATGTGGTGCTGAGGAATCAAACCCAGGGCCTCATGCATGGAAGGCAAGCGCTCTACCACTGAGCCACCTTCCCAGCCCCAGAATTTTTTTTTTAAGTCATGGTTTTAAATGTACTTTATGGTGTGTGTCAGTAGTTGTGGGCCTTGAACTCAAGGTCTGGGTTCTGTCCCTGAGTTTTTTTTGCTCAAGGCTAGCACTCTACCACTTGAATCACAGCTCTACTCTGCCTTTATGTTGGTTAATTGGAGGTAAGAGTCTCATGGACTTGACTCCCTGAGCTGGCTTTGAACCATGATTCTCAGATCCTAGTCTCTCAAATAGCTAGGACTATAGATAGGCGTGAGCCCCTGATGCCTGGTTTGAGATGTTTTAAGGGAATAAAATGACTTCCTTAAGTAACATAGTTAATAAATTATAGAGCTACCACTTGATTCCAGATTTCACTAATTCCAAAGTTTTTTTAAACTAGTCTCTGTTGTTTCTCTGTAGGCTTGTTTAATGTTACTAGTTTCCCAACATTCACAATTTCTCAATAACTGCCATTTGATAGGGTTTTTCTCGCATGATTCCCAAATCACAAACTAATTTCTTTTCTGTGTAGGAATCAAAATAAAGATTGTTCTGCATCTAATTTGTGATAGAAACAGTCTGGATATACCGGATAGATGTCAGTAATGTTCAGGTTTGCAGTGTTGAATAATCAGTGTAAAGACACACAGAAAAGTGTAAAAGTCATACATGAAATTTTCAAATTGGACATATCTGTGGTAAATATCCAGATAGAACATATGTTATCCCCAAATCATCCTTTATTAAATAATTTTAAAAGCCAGTATAGGTTCTATTTACTGTGTAGACAGAAAGGAATCTGAGAAGTGATAGTCCAACAATTTATTTCTCTGAGTTTAGAGGATTTTGCTTAGATATGTCTACACCCTCCCAGTACGTTCTTTTAAATAGGTGTGCTCTATTCCTTAGATTGGGGTGCCATAAGTTGTTAAAATTTTGTTTGTACCAATAAGAAATGAGCATGTAAATTTAAAGAAGTCTAGTGTAATCAAGTAATATAATTAATGTAGTTAAATAACCTTGATTATCATAGAAACTCCTGGATAGCTGGCACCAGAGGTACATATTCATGCCCAGTTTATTGATTGAGACTGGTTTTAAGGAACCTTCCCCCTAGATTTTCCTAAATAGCGTGGATTACAAGTGTACACCTATATATCTTACTCTTTGTCTGAATTTTTAAAATTCATGTCTATTATCTTTTTTAGGATCACTTGAGTGGAGGTTGGGGGGGCATTTTGTCTAGTTATTTCTCATCAATGTGTATATTTTAAGCACCACAGTACTGCTATCAAAATAGGAAGTTTAACTGTGATGCAATACTTTTATCTTGGCCGTAGGCAGTAGGTTTCATCAGTTGTCCAGTATAGTCCTTGGTAATTATTTCTTTCCTGGTCTGGGACATGCACTGCACTCAGTTGTTTCTGTAATGAGCAATTCTGACAAAAAGAACCCAGAGTTTGTTCATGTTAGCCAAGGGCTTCCCACTGAGCTGCACCTCCAGCCCCCAGTTTTTACCTCTTTAATGCCATTTAATCTGGACCATTGGCCGTTTTGTTTGTTTTTTGACCTCAACATTTTAAACATAGAGGCTAGTTTCTTTTTTTCCCCTAGTATAATCCTCAACTGAGTTTTTCTGCTTGGATTATTTTTGGTAGGAATACCACAGACATGATGATGTGCATCCTATCTGGAGTCACTTGATATTGTTTACATTGATGTCTACACGTTTCTCCACTCCAAAATTTACTACTACTTTCTGTAATAAGTAATGTGTTTGGATTGGTTTTATCATGATTGAAATACTTAATTCACCCAGAGGTGAAATGTTTCTATTTCTCACCTGTCATTTTGAAAGCTGAGTTTATTGCAGCCCCATATATTTTCTAAAGTATAGGATTATAAACTGTTCTTTATGTGTCATTTTGGCATATTGTTTCTGTGTACTTACAGTAAGATTTGGGATGAAAGGGACAGTAAGTAGGAAGATGGTTTACAAATCATCTGTTACTAGGAAACTGGCAAGTAGAATCAGAACAGCTCATTTTCAACATACTCCAAGTCATAAAAAGTGCTTCTGGGAATGACACAGCCTGTGTGATCCCCTTCTACTCGGGAGGAAGAAATTAAGATGTGATTTGAGGCCAGTTTGGGCAAAAAATTAGTGAGAATCCATCCCCATTAAGAAGCCAGGCTAATGGTATATGCCTGAAGTCTAGTATATGACATCCAAGGCTGACTGACCTTGGATAAAAATCTGAGACCCTATCTGAAAAAGGACTAAAGCAAAAAAGGCTTAGGGGTATGGCTCAGCAAGGGAATAGCCTAGCAAATGAGAAGCCCTGAATTCAAATCCAATACCACCAGAAAAAAAAAAAAAGTTACTAGTCTTGTTTTAAAGACAGGATTTTTTTTTTTTTACTAATTCTGGTTGGCACACTTAGAATACTAATTGGTTGCTGAAAATTATGAATTTCAATTTATTAGTCTAGTGCAGTGGGCACTTACTTGGATTTAATAAATATTCACCTATCTGAGACCTTTTGTTTGCCATTTCAGGAGCAGTAGCAGTGGCATGGAAGAATCCTGTGTCAAGTTGGTTTACTGCCATGCTCCACTGCTTTGGTGGAGGAATTTTATCCTGCATACTGCTTGCAGAACCTCCACTAAGGTTTCTTGCAAACCACACTAATGTTTTACTGGCATCTTCAATCTGGTAAGCTGCCATCATGGTGAACTGTGAGATATTTAAAAAATTGTTTTGTAAATTGTTAGGAAAATTGAATTACATTGTTTTTAATGTTTTTGAGAAGTTAATGTGCATGTAAGAAAAGAAACCAAATAGTGCCAATGGTTTTAAATGCAAAGCTTATTTGTTTGTTGCCTTTCTCCTCTTCTCCTAGAGACAGGTATTGTTAACATTGTTTTACATATATTTAGTAGAAACACTTCAAACACAAGAGGACATTAAATATTTGACCATAAACAATTTATCTTAGAACTCAAGTCATACATGAAATCAGATCATGATAAGAATCATGAAGTGACCAAGCAAGAAGTTTCAGTGACTTATTGTTATGATTCATACAGTTCTTGTCACACTCTGTTATGTTATTTAGATCCTTATTTTGAAGTGAGAAAGAAAAGTACAATTCAAATACAGGTATCCTCAAGAGGATTGGTCAACTAAATTAAAAATATATAATCCAAAAAAATCCAAATCATTAATACATGCAGGAAAAGAGAACAATGAAACTTAATGAAATTATTATTGCTGTTACATTTTTTTGTCTGTTGTGGGGCTTGAACTCAGGGTCTGAGCACTGTCCCTGAGCTTTTTGCTAATGTTCCAGTACTTGAGACTCAGCTTCACTTCCAGCTTTTGGGTGGTTAATTGGGGATAAGAGTCTCATGGACTTCCTGCTTGCGCTGAAAAAGTCCTCAAGTCTTAGTTCCTGAGTAGCTAGGATTACAGACAAGAGCTACCAATGCCTAGGTGTAACTACTTATTAAAAGAGAAATTGTTAATAATAGTAGCAAAGGTAAAATAATAGTGGGAACTCCTGGCAGTAGAAACAGGAGGAGCAGTTTAACACAATTGATGTCTAATATGTATTGAGTTGCTACTATATGTCAACAGATTCTTTTCTTTTTTTTTGGGGGGGGGTCCAGTCGTGGGTCCTGAACTCTGGGCCTGGGCGCTGTCCCTCAGCTCTTCAGCTCAAGACTAGCGCTCTACCATTTGAGCCACAGCTCCACTTCTGGCTTTTTTCTTTTTGCTTACGTGCTGTTGAGGAATCGAATGCAGGGCCTCATGCATGCAAGGCAAGCACTCTACCACTGAGCCACCTTCCTAGCCCCTGTTTCTTAGCTTTTTCACTGTACCACTTGAACCATAGCTCTACTTCTGTTTTTTTTTTTTTTTTGGTGGTAAATTGGAGGTACAAGTCTCACAGACTTTATGCCTTGGCTAATTTTGAACTGTAATCCTCAGATCTCAGCCTCCTGAGTAGCTAGGATTATTCCTCTATTCTAACTCTCCTTATTTCCCACATATAGTATCAATCCTAAGGTTTGTGCTTAGCTTATTTTTTAGAGAAATTTCTACCATGTATGAATAAACAATAGATCTGTTTTTTTCTGTATTAAATTTAATAATTTATTCTATGGTGTTGGAGATCAAACCCAGGCACAGATTATAGCACTAAAGCTACAAGGATCAAAGTTACAGTATTTGGTCTGCTTGCACAGTAAATTGCTTTATATTTTGGAAACAGAAACATTGTCTTTGTTCTCACATGTGCTTAAATATAAAAGAATGATGCTGGCCTAAAGACATACTGTTTTCATTTTTTAAAAATTGGCATGCATTATGAAAAAATACAGCACCCATTCATTTTAAAAGCTCTGGAGAAAATAGGAATAGAAGGAACCATTCTTTAAAATAATAAAAGCAATACATGACAGACCAATGGCCAATATTATACTAAACAGGGAAAAACTACAACCAATTCTCCTAAAATCAGGAACAAAGCAAGGATACCCACTCTCTCCCCTCTTCTTCAGTATAGTTCTGGAATTCTTAGCCAGAGCAGTGAGGCAAGAAAAAGACATCAAAGGGATCCACATAGGGAAGGAAGAAACTAAACTATCCCTATTTGCAGATGATATATTATACCTTAGTGACCCCAAAAACTCTACTCCCAAACTCCTAGAACTTATAAACCATTTGGGTAAAGTAGCAGGGTATAAAATTAGCCCACAAAAATCAGTTGCCTTTCTATGCACCAGCAGTGTACAAGCAGAAAGGGATATCGGGAACAGCCCAATTCACAATACTCTTCTCGCCCCTTCCCCCCCACAAATAAAATATTAGGAATTAATCTAACCAAAGAGGTAAAGGACCTATGTAGTGAAAACTATAAAAACCTAAAGAAAGAACTCAAAGAGGACACCAGGAAATGGAAAGACCTTCCATGTTCTAGGATAGGCAGAATCAATATTATGAAAATGGTCATTCTGCCAAAAAATGATTTACAAATTCAATGCAATTCCCATCAAAATCCCAATGAGGTTCTTTATGGAAATAGAGAAAACAATCCAAAAATTCATATGGAACAACAAAAGAACTAGAATAGCCAAAGCAATTCTAGGCAAAAGAAACAATGCAGGAGGGATCATGATAACCAGATTTCAAGCTCTCCTATAGAACCATAACAGGTAGCTTGGCATTGGCACAAGAACAGACTTGAAGACCAATGGAATAGAATAAAATCACATACCTATAGTCAGCTGATATTTGACAAAGGAGCCAAAGACATACACTGGAAGAAACATAGCCTCTTCAACTATTGGTGCTGGGAAAACTGGGTGGCCACATATAGAAAAATAAAAGTGGACCCCAGCCTATCACTATGCACTAACATCAACTCAAAATGGATTAGAGACCTTAATATCAAACTTGAATCTGAAACTACTGCAGAGCCGGCTAGGAGAGACACTGGAACTTATAGGCACAGGTAGGAACTTCCTGAAGAGTCCCAGGTTCACAACAAATTAGAGAGAGACTGGACAAATGGGACTACCTTAAAATAAAAGTTTCTGCACAGCTAGAGACATAGCTGTCAAACTAGAAAGACAACCAACCAATTAGGTAAAAATATTTACCAGCAACATCTCAAAGGACTAATATCCATTATATACAGGAAACCCAAGAAGTTAATCCCTTGGCAAATCTAACAAACCAATCATTAAATGGGCAAGGGAACTAAAGAGAGACTTCTCAGAAAAAGAGATAAAAATGGCAAAGAAACACATGAGGAAGTGTTCATTATCCCTGGCCATAAAGGAAATGCAAATAAAAACAACCCTGAGATACCACCTTACCCCAGTCAGAATGACACATATCCTAAATTTAGCCAATGACAAATGCTGGAGGGGAGGCAGAGAAAGAGGAACCCTATTGCATTGCTGATGGGAATGTACACTAATACAACCACTTTGTTGAGGGGTTTTTTTTTGTTGTTTTTTTTTTGCCAGTCCTAGGGCTTGAACTCAGGTCCTGGACACTGCCCTTGAGCTGCTTTTGCTCAAGGCTAGCACTCTACCATTTGAGCCACAGCACTACTTCCAGCTTTTTCTGTTTATGTGGTACTGAGGAATGGAACCCAGGGCTTCATGCATGCTAGGCAAGCACTCTACCACTAAGCCACATTGCCAGCCCCTAATACAACCACTTTGGAAAGCAGTCTGGAGGCACCTCAGAAAGGTAATATAGCCCTAATCTGTGACCCAGCCATACCACTCCTGCGCATCTACCACAAGGACCCATGCACCTCCATGTTCATTGCTGCACTATTCACAATAGCTAAGATAGGGAAACAACCCCCATGCCATGTGGTACCTATATACAATGGAATACTATGCAGCCATTAGAAAGGACAAAATAATGACATTTGCAGGGAAATGGATGGAGCTAGAGCAAATCATTTTGTGTGAGATAAGCCAAGATCAGAGAGAACAGCACATGGTCTCCCTGATATGTGGATGTTAAATCCAAAATGTAAGGAGATACAACAAAGTAAACAGGACTCAAGAAATAAAGAACATCTACTTAATTTGTCATATAATTTCTAAATGACTCCATGTTCTTGACCTCATAGATGGTATATATATGTACACATCTGAGGGAAGCTAGGAGGAGGGCACAGAATCCGAAAGAAATAGGGAAAAAATACAATGCGGGGGGCGGGCATCAGCTGCAGTGGACATTGATGAAAATGAACTAAGCAACTCCAGGGCAGCGATGGGAGGGAGGGAAGGAGAAGGAAAGAGGAACAACTAACACTAAGCAAAAGGAAAGAAATGTATGCCGGTGCCAGCGGCTCACGCCTGTAATCCTAGCTACTCAGGAGGTTGAGATCTGAATATTGTGATTCAAAACCAGTCTGTGAGACTCTCATCTCCAATTAACCAGAAAACTGGAAGTGGTGCTGTGGTTCAAGTAGTAGAGCACTAGCCTTGAGCTGAAGATCTCAGGGACAGTGCCCAGGCCCAGAGTTCAAGCCCCACAACTGACCAAAAAAAAAAAAAAAAAAAAGAGAAAAAGAAAAAAAATGTACCTGTGACCCAACGCAGAAGAAATAGTTGTACTGTCAAAGCTTGTAGAATTTACAAACTTTATAGACCAAGATAATGAGGATTTGCCTTGTGAAGGTAAAAATGTTTGTAACTTTAAGTATCACTATCCTACAATACTGTGAGATTTGTGAAATTTCTGTAACCATTTAATCTCAATAAAAATTATTATAAAAAAGAAAAAAATTGGCATGCATTAGCTATGAAGGGGTAATTTCATTGTTATATATTCGTGCATGTATCCAGTATATCTCACCTTCTTTATCCCTTCCCTTATTCCTTTACCCTTTTCCTAAAACAATTCCAAGAAGTTTCATCATTCTATTAATAATTGCCAACAATTTCAACATCCATTCTTTTGTACCCTTGATATCACCATTCCCTTTGTCTATTTTCATTTTTAAGGTTATGATATTTAGAATAAATATATAATTTTTTCTTCACTTTAATTTGATAGTTGAAAATATTTGGAATATATTTTTGTATTAGAATGTACTTTAAATTGTCACCTACAGATCTTCCTCCCCTCCCCCTGCCACCCCCATGTGCAGACATCTAGAGATTAGCACCATCTACTGG